TTAATCCAGTAAAACATATTATAACTACAAGTACTAAAATATATAATATAATATAAAGACGAGTTACTTTTCGGTGACGTTGTATAACTGAAATTTCTTCTGTTGTTTGTGATACTTCAGATAATTGAGCTTTTGGTATTTTATAATATAAGTTTAATATTTGCATGGATTGTCGAAGTTGAGTGAGAATAAAAGTAGTGCAATTAGGAACACCTTAAAATATGAAGAAATGAAAAAAAAAGAAATTAATTTTGTATCAATCTCTATAATATAACTAAATTGATTATATAATTTTGAATATTTTACTGCATGCAATCATTTATTAATAGAGAGTTTGTAACTAATTCAATATCTTGTTTGTATTTATTAATAGTTCTATAGTATTCTATTTACTCTTGCCTCTTTCTATAAAGAATTTCTTTTTAATATTTTTTTGACGATTGCGACAATGATAATATATTCGTCGAAGTAATTTTACCATAGGGTGTGGGTGTGGGATGTGGGTATGGGTGTGGGTGTGGGGTGTGGGTGGGTGTGGGTGTATGTGTGGGTGTGGGTGTGGGTGTGGGGTGTGGGTATGGGTGTGGGTGTGGGGTGTGGGTGTGGGTGTGGGTGTGGGCGTGGGTCTGGGCGTGGGTTTGGGCGTGAGTTTGGGTCTGGGTGTGGATGTGGGAGTGTGGGTGGAGTGTATGATTCATTTGATATTCACACCCACACCCACACGCACATCCTCACCCACACCCACACCCACCACACCCACACCCGTACCCACCACACCCACCACGCCCACACCACACCCACACCCCACACCCACCCATACTCACACCTCACACACACACCACACCCACACCCACACCCACACACACCACACCCACACCCACACTCACACCCATACCCACACCCACACCCGCACCCTCCTACACCCACGGGAAGCCTGCTTCCGTTTTCCTTCGATTTCCAGTGCCTTCCAGCCGGTTCCGGCCCGTACTTTTCGACCTTGGATGGGTTTACAAAATCATCCTTTGAATTTAGAGACATCTATGTTGCTCTTTAAGATTGATGTAAAAGTATCTAATCAATCAATCAAAGTTCTGAAGAAGTGCGACACCTTAATATTAAATCATACCATTTTTCATTGGTTCTTCTCTTCAGCACTTTCCAATGCAATAAACAATAAAATTTCTTCCGTTCTGTTTTGTTATTTACTAAAGATAAGAACAGATTGTCTTGACATAAATACCCATGATTACGCACGTCCGTAAGTGACAAACTCTAAAAGTTTTCAACTTTGATCATCATCTTCATCAATGGCAACCAATACAATTCCATCAATTGAGACATTACCAGTCGAGATATTTCATCGGATTTTTGATAATCTTAATGCGCAAACTATTTTATTCTCAATTCGGCCAGTATGCCGAAAATTTAGAGCAGTTGTTAGTACTTATGATCGATTTAGTTGTGATTTCAAATCTATTTCACAGTCAGATTTTCATCTACTTTGTCGATTAGTTAATCCTCAAAATGTTATATCATTAACATTATGCAACAATGATCATACTCCAGATCAACTAGCTTTATTTATTATATTAGTTCGTCTTCGACAATTTACTCGACTTCATTCCGTAACTTTTCTTGGTATAGATGAAGTTCAATTTAATGAATTTTTAAAAAGTATCAGTGTAGATTCATTAACTTCATTTTCGTTGAATATTCAAAATTACGACAACAGACGAAAAAAAACTACATTAAATCTTCTTTTATCAATTGTGTCCCAGAAGCGTCTTAGAAAACTTGAACTAGGAATAAACAATGATCGACTAGCGAATGCATCATGGCCTTTAAATTGTACAATTGAATATTTAGTTATAAATGAAAATATTACTTATGATAATATCTATAATATGTTAGTCAGTTTCGTCCAGTTACATACACTTATTATCAAACAAAATTTTTCCATCACGAAGAATATAATTGTAACAAATTTTTTTCCAAAATTGACTTCATTAACTATAGAAAAACTTAGTACAACAGTAGATAAATTTGAATCATTTCTTTCAATGACACCATCACTTGTTAAATTGAAAATACTTGGTGAAGGTTGGATATTGAATGGTAAACAATGGGAACAAATCATTCAGATACACCTTCCTCATTTACATAACTTTCAATTTTTCGTTAGTGATAATAAACCACGTGCTCAAACTCGTGATGATCTTCAATTAATTATTGAAACATTTCAAAGCTCATTTTGGACTGAACATAAAAAGTGGTTTGTTGCTTGTGACTTTATTAGAGATCGACCACATAAAATTCAACTTTATTCAATACCAATTTGTAAATATGTTGATCGGTATGAAGTAAGCTCAGAGAAAGTTTTTATTTCTAATTCTACAATTAAATTCCACAATGATCCATTAATAACAAATAATATCAATGAACTTATTTTGCCTTTGAAAGAAACAACAACTGGGTATTTGGATAAAGGAGTATGTTATATATTTATAATATGCATTTTAATGAAATAGATATATTTATTTTCTAGGAGATAATAAGAATAGGTCCTTTGTTTCCTGCAGTTACTAAACTTATTCTTAATATTAATAGAGAACAGTCTTTGCAGTCAATGAGCTTTTTTTCATCAATAATCAATCTTTCACAAATAGTTCAGCTCAAATTAGAAGGTGATTCTTTGAATATGAAAAATACAGATATATTACTGGATATAATAAGGATGATTGAACGATTATCTAATCTAACATCATTGATGATTAATAGCAGTTATCATAAAAAGGAATTGTACCCACATGCGAATGCTTTATATTCAATACTTCCACATCGAATAAAACACTTACTGATACCAATCAATCGATTAGATCAAATTAAAATCATTTTAGAGCGATGTCAGTATCTGCTAACAGTACAGTTTGTGACAGTGTCTTCAACATTTTCTGACGAAGTTTGTCGATGGTTTACTCAAAATACGATTGATTCAACATTTCGAAAACATAAAGATTATGATATTGTATGGATTGGAAAGAAAATCAATGAAACTAAAGTTCATCACAAACGAATCAAGTTAACTGACAATATATTTGACTCTTAAAATATTTTATTTCGTCATATCATATTGATCAGATGATCAAGAAGGATATAATAAACTGGATAAATCTCGATTCATAGCTTCGAACATTCTAACCGTAAGTGTATACTCAAAGAAATAAAATATTTTAGTTTTCTTAGTAAAAACACAATTATCAAGTTGTACTGTGAAGTATAAGAAAAAACATTTTGTTTCCTTAATAATTGCTTTAAATCACATCTGATTAATCGTAATAGCGATGTCACTGGTGGTCCCACAAAATTCATGTTTAGTCCATTAATTAATTCAACCTACTTATTCAACAGCTAGATGTATATGCAACGGATTCTATCCATCACTATTCTTCACGCTCACATCCAGGACCGTTTCTTAAGCACACATATTCATGTGTATGCACACTATCGGTTCGATTTCCTGTCTTTATGCCAGTTTGTTATCTTTTTCCTGTTTGTATGGCATAAGTTAGGTCATTCTTTGAATAAAGGATGTGCGAGTTAGTCGCATCTTTGCAAGACAGATGATCTTTTCTAGATTAAACATTCTACTTTCTCTAAAGAGTAGTCAAACAAGTTCGGTTTCACACAATACAACTTATGCTGAGGAATGTTGACTTCGTTACCCCATAAGTGGTCTATATATTGTAAAAGTTGAGATTTTTGAGTGGATTTGGTGTAACGAGTTTATTACGCCTCAATAAACTGGTGTGCTATTAGCGCAAGGGGGAAACAGCAGATTTCAAGATTTCAAGAGATTTCAAGGGATTTCAAGAGATTTCAAAAGATTTCAAGAGATTTTTTAGAGATTTCAGAAACTTTGGGAGATTTGCAGCAATTGCAATTAACCCATTGGGCCCGATGGGGTCCACCGGTGGACCCCACTATATTTTAACAAGAAATTTAGTAGAAAAACGCTTTCTTTTCTTTTATTCTTAGGTGGAAGGTTACACATAATGTGCGATCTGCTTTGCCTTCGTTATTTTCAAAATCATTTGTTAC